CTAAACCCTAAACCCTAAACCCTAAACCCTAAACCCTAAACCCTAAACCCTAAACCCTAAACCCTAAACCCTAAACCCTAAACCCTAAACCCTAATATTACGGTTTATAGTTATTTACCAGGCTTCTATATTAAAATTAAGAGTAATTCTCTAAAAATAAAAGACTCCAGTATAGAGTGGATTAACCTGACTGTTATACCTTAACCTTAACCTGGCGGTCAGGTTTAGGTATAAAATCAGATTAACCGTCAGGTAGAACGGTTAACCGCGGTTAACTGTTATACCTGCACTAGTTCTAAAAAGGCTAGTTAAGGCATAAATTAGGCAAAAATAGGCAGAACTTCGGCCAAAATCAGGCAGCAGTATTTTACCCTATTTTACCGCCTTCTAAAATAGGCTTAGTTGCCGAGAAATTGGACCCGCCGGTTAACCGCAGGTTAAGCCAGTCAGGAATATATATATTTTTATACCTGACCATAACCTGCAGTCAGGTTTAAAAATCTTAATTAACCTGACCTGACCTGGCTGTTAGCCACTCTACTCCAGTAATATAAAATAGATTTTCTAGATTTTAGAAAATCCGGAAATAATTATAAAAAAATTAATAAGAAGCTGTAAAAAAATAATAAGAATATCATAATAAGTACTGGAAACTATTCTTTTTTAAAAAAAGAAATTTAGTAAAACTATTAATCTAGAACCTATAGTTTAAAGAATTAAGAAAACTAGTTCTAAAGTTTATTGAACTCTTCTAAATTTTTAAATTTATTAAATCCCAGATATATTAATTATATTTATTTAATAAATATAAATAAATTTATAATATTTTCTATATTTTTCTTCTAGAATTATAAAATACAGATAAAAATAATAAAAAAATATTACTAATATCTGATCTTAATAATAAGAATAAATAGAAAATTAAAAAAGTTAAGAATTATTAATACTATAATAAGCAGGACTACTATTTAATTAAGTAGAAATACTAGCCAAGTAAATATAATTAGTAGATTCTAAATAAAAATATAGTAAATATATAAAAATATATTAGAGACTATTAAAAGAAGTACTAGAAATTATAAAAACTAATAAAATTATTAAAAACTACTGCTGAATAGCTGCTGATATTAGTCTTATATTTAATAAATAAACTAAAGTAATTATTAATCTTTATTATTATAAATTAAATATATTAAAAATTATATTGATTTATTCTGTTATAAGATAACAGGAGATTTTTATATATATCTAACCAGTATTATCCTTACTGATATCTAAATATAAATAGAGATTATAATCTCTTTAAATATTAGGAATATAAACAGAAAAGGCCTGGATAAGACTAGTAATCTGAGAATTTATAATAAAATTATTAAAATTACTTCTATCTTCTGAGGCAGAATCCTCAGTAATATTAAAATACTGTTTATTAGTTATATTAATAATAATCTCTAGATAATACTTTAATACTAAGACTTAATTAATATATCCGGTATTTTCTAGTAATAAATATAATAATAAAGTATAATTATATTTGAAATACTCAGCCAGAATAGTATCTTCGTTAAGCAGATTAAATAGATTAAATAGATTAAGTAGATAAACTAAATCTAAAGAATATTACTATACTGTAATTAAAAATATATTATATTTTATATATTATCTATATAATAGAGATATATATATTATTAATTAATCTGCAGTTATTAATCTATCTGCTATATCTAATATTTCTGACTGGTAGGTATAAATAGTTAAAGTAATAGATATATTTTAATCTGACTATAACTGTTATCTAGATCTTGTTAAATGTATCTAAAATTTTGAAAATAAAATATTAAATAGTATATTTATAATATACTTAAGTTTTAACTTTTTATTTTATCTAAATCTATTTATAATTTATTTATACTAAGATGTTTTTTATTTAATAGTTTATAAAATCTTATTTATAGTCTAGTAGACTGTAAATACTCTTATAGAATAAATTAGTTTAATATTTTAAAACTATATTATTAAAAACAATAGATTAGTTTCATATTTATATTTTATATTATTAAAAAAACAGATTAATTTTAAAATTATATTAATAAAAAAAAATAGATTAATTTAATAATTTTTAAACTATCTTATTTTAGAAGAGGCTAGTTTTAAACCGCCTTAACAGATTGGTTTAAAAATATCTAAACTGAACTGTACCTATCTAATACTTATAACAGAGCTTTATAGTAACAGGTGTATGGGCCTAGCCCTAATTCCCTGATTGAACCCTTGAATGATATGGCTTTGGAGATCCGGCTAGAGTTTACTAATACCTGCATTGTTTGGGACATTCTTCTCAGCCTTACTGGCAGATGTGGCGGGGGCAATAGTGAGGTCTGAAAAATCCGAGAAGAAAGAAGTATTCGTATAAGAAGTCAGACTGCCCGAACCGGTCAGAATATTGACTTCGCATGTACGGCTAAGCGCGCATTCGCAGTCATCGGCGGTTGATAAATCCGGGGTGTCAAAAAGTCGACTATTATAGTCTCTAATAACTGTATTGATATCCTTCTAAATATTGCCTTCGAAGATTCCCTTAGCACTGGTATTTCCACCTTCGAGCGCATGGCCGTTGTTCAAATACCAAATATTATTCACGGTATGAAGGAGGGTACTGGAACTCAGAGCAGGGCTGCGGCCGGAGGTTTTATAGATGTAATTGTTTTGCAGAGTGATCTGGTCATCAAACCCCTCTATCTTGAATATCCAGTATGTATACCTATCGCACCCTGTCGAGTAAGGCGTATCTCCATCAATATAGTTGTTCGAGAGGGTTACTCGAGTGTTGGTCTGGAATCCGAATATGTGGTGTTGTCTTCCAGTTCGAGCCGTCTACTATACTTGTTAGCAATAATACTTTCTCATGTAGAATTAGATTAGGCAGGTTCATACCGTAATATGATCAATCTAAATCAGGTCTGACCCGTCGAAATAAATCGCATCACCGTCCCAAATATACTCCGGATTCAAGTCAGACACCTGGATATTTTGTATGATGATGTTTGAGGCGCCGTTGGTGAAACTCAACCCTTTACCTTTGATGACTCCGCTCTCTCCGACGCTGATAATGGTTTTGTTTGACGCGACCTCTAGGGCTTTCAGCGCAGCAGTGTACCAGGTCGCGGTTATTAAGAGACTGCTCCTGCAGTTGTCTTAGATAATCTTCTGGCAGGCGTCTCCAGTGCCCCAGGAGGCACAAACTGTTCCAGTAGTTGTTCCTTCCAAGTTGGTAAAATCGTATTCTTTGGATAAAAAGATGACTCGGAGGGTATTATCAGCGAGCTATTTCTTCAACTTATTAATATTACTTGTATACTGCGGTTCCGAACTGCCTCCGCCCGTCACCCCAGCAGCAAAGCCTTCAGCCTGTCCAGAGACTGATACAGCTTCCCCGAGGGTGACTAGTGACCAAAGAATACCGATACGTATCAAAGGGAGCTTTATATTGACTAAAGGTGAAATGAAATATGAGATCAAAATCGGATTTCAGTGTTTTTTTTTAACTTTTGATTAGAGAAGTTGCAAGCCGTGAGTAATATAATCAGGAACCTTATAAATCATTTCTCGCCGCAACTGAACTATAATTAGAATAGAAATAAACGCCTGCAGTAAGATTGTAGGGGCTTGCCTCCGCTTTTAACATCGCAAGTTAATTGATTGGTACCTTGTCGGTAACAGCTGACAGGTCCCTAGTATTCTTGGTAGGCCTAAAATACAAAATCTGGAGGCTTACTTCCGCTTACCAACAGGGTCTAGGCTACGTTAGCTGATCGGGGCCCTGTATCTCGGTTATTTGGACTGCTGAGAGAATCTTCCGCGTTTCAGTATGCAATATGCGGATGTCAAGGCTCCGCCGTTCTGTATTGCTGGTCTGTATTGATGTCCCTAGGGAGGCTCTTTCTGGAGTTCACACTGGCATCTTGTGCTGCTTCGAGGTTGTTCTCGGGGTTATCTTCATGATGACTCTATCTCTGGGTGCGTTTCTACAGGAGCGAACCACACTATTGACAAAAGACTAGCGTTGGGCTCGGAGCGCGTATCTTTTATATAGGAGGTTGACCAGATCCTGACAATGTTGACATGGTCTGCAGCCCATGCAGTGGTAATTTACAATAGCAATTAAGTGGTTGATATATCCACGCACGCGCATTTTATTGTGTTTTTGTATAGTAAGTCGGTTAAACTGGCGATGTAACCACCTAGTATCGGCACATTCAACCGCCTCATATGGGGTATATCTCTACAATCTGCCCTGGACGCATGCTTCTTCCCTCGAGTCAATCCATCCTTTAGATCTTGAATGTACATTGCCATGTCCCATCGCCGCTGTGAACAGAAGGGAAATGGGAGCAGGCCTTTGGTTTCTCTCATTCTCGAGGATTCTCGTACGGACTAGCACCCCTTGGACTAATGGGAACGTATGTTGAGATGAGTGAGGCAATCGCGAAGTAAAGACCGGTCGATCAAGTCTTCAGGGGTTTCAGTGGGTCTAACCATCTGTTTCTACAGGGTGTGTAAGCTCTTACTAGTAGTAAAAGCGCCTACCCGGTTTTTAAAAACAAAAAAAGATGACCAGACTGGGGCTCGATCCCAGGACCTTATCGGTGTTAACGATACGTGATGAACCAACTACACTATCCGGCCAAGAAAGATGGGACGCCTCTGGGACTCGAACCCAGGCGGGCGAACCCACAGGCTGGCTAGATCAGCGGACTGATGAATAGCAGGCCTGCCTTAACCACTCGGCCAAACTGTCTTGCTTGATAGAAGGTGGCGGGTTATCATTTCTTATAACTCGCTGCCCAACCCTCGGGACCACCCTTTAAAAGGTTTCGTGGCTGCGACAACATCCACCCGAGAGAATATTTTCGGCCTGGCCGCATGATGGCCCTATCTGACCACATACCCTAGAGGGAAATATTTCACATATTTCTTCATTGAACGGTTCTGGTAATACGGGTTGTAGAATGAGTCACGGGCTATACAGACCTGCCTTGTCGTTCTACCTTTAATTTGATGCTAGTGGCACTAGAGAAGCGACGGATCTGGACTCCGTCCAGTCGGAGAGTTCCTCGGTTCGTTGTGCAATTTGTACTGGTATCGAGTTCTTTTGTGGATAGCATTCTGTTTCTTGTAATGAACTCACAATAGATTCGGTGAAGATGTTCCAAGAACCAGGTTAGAAGTGTAGGATTGTTGTTACTAAAACTAACTGCGGGTTGACGAGGTTATATATTCTGCCGCGCCACATTTACGTACTAGCTGTCCACCTGGGTTATTGGACTTAAGCCTATGCCGCACCGTCACTCTGATTTTCTGCCTGCAGCCTTTTCTGATGCTCTGGAGTTCACCCCCGTGCAATAAAACCCCCACTCCATAACATCCGGGAGGATACTTAGTGCCCTGCCGGCCGTCGTGTGCTTTCGACGCTGGTCGCCCACGCAAACCCCGAGCCGGGTTCGCGATCTGGGGCGGGAGGGGATGGGGGTCATGGCGGACGAGTATTTGTGTATTGCCAGGAGCAGAACCTCAAGGTGCCAGTAAAGAAGGAATCTGGTTTCTAGTCTCCATCCTCCATAGACAACGGCTGTAGGGTTAATAGTATGGGAAGTACCTTACTGTATAGTGTGCCAGCGTTGGCGGATGTGGGGGTGACCATACCGGACCGCTCCGTACCACCTTCACACTCACAACCTCCCATTCCTTTCCTCTCCTCTCCTCCATCTATCCCCGCTCCGCACACTCCCATCCCATCCCCAATCCCATCCCCATCTTCTTGCTGGATATGCATGGCGCCTCACCATGGCCCCCCGCCGCCGCACCCTCGCCGCCTGTCTGTTCTGTCGCGAGAAAAAGGTGATTCGTCCCGACTGCCCCGCGTTGAATGCCGTCCGGACCGCTGACTCCCCTCGGCAGCTGAAATGCGACGCCATCGAGCCGACGTGCGGGAACTGCGCCGCCAAGGGCCGGGTCTGCCAGCCCAGCGCCGTGCAGCCCAAGCCACGCCCCACGAACCATCGCATCGCCCAGCTGGAGCACGCCAACCACGCCCTCCGCCAGCAATGCGCCCAGTTGCGCACTCATCGCATGAGCAGCCCGTCCGCCCCGATGCCTGCGGAGGCTGCTCCTGCTCCTGCTCCGGCCCACCCGGAGGCCCGCGACCACGACACCAGCCGCAAACCGTCGCCGTATCACGGGCCCACCAGCACCGCCTACGATGATGATGATGATGATGATGATGATGATGATGATGCCCTCGGGCTCCTGCCCCCGGACGCACCCGTCTCGGACGGCCCCCTCGGCGAGGAGTGCGCCCGCCAGGCTCTGTTTGCGGCCGCTGCTCGACAGAGTAAGTGGATTAGCCGGAAACCCTGCTGCGGCTGTGGAAGTCCCTGACAGAACCAGGACAGCTCGAACGCCTTAACCTGGCCGCGGGCCGGCTGGACTTCGACGGCGTGGACCCGGCCATCGGGATGCGTCTGCTGGCCATCTACTGGAGCCGCCAGCTGTACACGGCCCAGATCATCTACCGGCCCGCCTTCATGCGCGACATGGCCTGCGGGGGCCCCTACTTCTCGCGCCTGCTGCTCAACGCCATCCTGTTCGTCGTCTCCAAGCACGACCCGCGCCCCGAGCTGTGCTCCGACCCGGCCGACATCACCACCGCCGGCTGGCAGTTCCGCCAGCGCTTCACCGAGCTGTTGCGCTTCCAGTTCGACCGCAGCGAGATCACCACCCTGCAGGCCCTGCTGATCATGTCCAACGCCCTGTTCTCGCGCTGCGACGAACGCAGTCGCTCGTGGCTGTACGCGGGCAACTCCCTCAACATGCTCATCGACCTGGGCCTGCACGTCCTGCCCTCCGGCCTCACCCGCATGACCGCCGAGGAGCTCGAGATCCGGAAGCGCGTGCTCTGGGGCGCCTATCGTAAGTGATCCCCTCCCTGCTGTTCCGGTGGGTGAGACGATGATGGAGGGCTAAACGTGCCGCGACCCCAGTCATCGACAAGATCCAGTGCCTCTTCCAGGGGCGACACCCGCTGCTGCGCCAGGTCGACTTCAACACGCCCCTGAGCTTCTGGGACGAATACGACGAGCTGGAGGAATTCCAGGGCATCACCTACACCCCGACCGAGGCCCGCCGGGGCGTCCCCGCCCTCAACGTGACGCTGCTCACCAAACTGTGCGAGCTGGCCCGCGTCATCGAGCGCATCGTGGGCGAGCTGTACTCGGTCTCCACGCGCGACCGGCCGGGGGCCTCCCGCCAGACGGTGGTCGACCGCATCAACGCCGACCTGACGCGATGGCGCCGGGCCCTGCCCCCGGCCGTCGACTATCTCGCCGCGGCCCCCCGCCAGCCCACGCTCACGCCCACGCCCACGCCCCTGCCGCAGTCCTGCTGCTTATTGTACGTCCAGGTCCCCGGTTCTCCTTGTGTGTGACCCGTCCCTGAAATCGTGCTGACCCCGTGATTCCGCCGCCACAGGGCTCTCTACAATGTCTTGGTCATTCTCTCCAATCCCCCGTCCATCACCGACCCCCAGGGCGGCCCGAATCAAGCCCGCCCGGCGCATGAATGCGTGGCCGCCTGTACGGGGGCCGCGAACCAGATCGCGCAGATCCTGCGGGACTACTGCCAGCACTACGCCATCTCCAGCGCCCCCTACATGCTCTCCTACGCCACCTACATCGCCGCCACCATCCACGCCCACATCGCGGCCCAGAAGGGTCCCGAGTCCAGTGCTTTCCAGTCGTTGGTCTTCTGTCGCCGCATTCTGACGGAGCACACCCGCCTGTACGCTGCCGCCGGCAAAGCCCGTGCGAATCTCGACAAACTCCTCGGTCGGCTTCGAGTCAGCATCCCGGACGAGCCGCTCCGCGTCCTTCCCGTCGACGGCAGTGTTCTCGCGTCCGAGGGTGCCGTGCGGCCAGACCTCGACACGGGGGTCCCCATCGACCCGCTGGACGCGATCGATCCGGCCCTGGGACTGACCGGCTTGCCCGGACTGGACCGGGATCTGTCGGATCTCGACATCGCAGCCATCGCCGAGGGGTTCCTGGTGGATGGCGACCTGCACGATTGGATGCAGACCTTGTCCGGGGTGTGCCAGTGACCATGCCCGGTTTATCGACACTTAGATCCTAAACCCCATCGTCCTTACTTCTTCATACCCTACGGGATACTGCACCGAGTCCAAATTCTTTTGCTCTATCTAACTACCGTATGGCCCGCGGGACCCCGGCGTGGATGCACCGGTCCCCGCCACGGTGGCCAGCTCGCGCGTCAACGAGGCCGACAGCGCCCCGACGTCTGTCTGCACATTGACCAGGTCAAAGCCCATCTCCGCATAGTGCTTCGCCTGCGCCCCGTCGCCACAGTAGATGCCCGCTTTTTGGCCCGCCGCATGCGCCGCCCGCAGCACCTTCTCAATCGCCTCTTCCAACACCGCATCGATCACCCCGTTCAGGACCGGGTGGCCGATGCTGTTCCCCAGGTCAAAGGGGCCCACGAACAACAAATCCAGTCCGTCCACTGCCGCGATGGCGTCCGCCGCGTCCAACGCCTCCCGGGTCTCGATCGGCACCGCCAGCAGAAGGGTGGCGTTGGCCTGTGCGAGGTACTGCGAGGCCGTCAGGCCCACGGCAAACCGGTCCATCGCAAAGGGCGACCCGAACCCCCGACGCCCCTGCGGCGGGAACCGGGAGGCCGCCACGGTTAGTGATGACATAGCAGTCTTGGACTCTGTCTCTGTACGCACGTTTGATCATCCAGCTCTGAAAATCGGGGACGCGAACAATCGGGCTGACTCCGTACCCGGCGACGGCAGCCACGGACTCGTGCATGGCGGCATCTACATGGGAGTTAACTGATCGTGTCATTCACAGCTTCACGGCGAGGACCCTACCATCGATGTTGCCATGCTCGCAGTCCACCAGAACCCAGTCGTAGCCCGCGCGGGCGAGGATGCGGGCCAGATTGCTCCCGGGCAGCAACTGCCATACCCCCAGGGCCACCCGCTTCCCTTCGGCGAGGGCCGTCTTCACGCGGCTGGTTCCGTCCATGGTCGTTGCAGGTGGTCTGCTGAGCATTATACACGGAGGGTGGGAGATGTCAATGAGAGGTGGGAAATCATCGCAAAAAAATCCCCCAATCGAGGACTATATGAAGGCCTGGGATGATTGCATGACGTCGGCCGGCTGCTTCCCTCCCGACCGGATGGTGATTATCCGAGCACAGCGACATCCGATTGGCGCCTCCCGCAGGCCACGGACCGGTTCCCCATGGGCACGGGGGAATCCCCCCAATCGGATGGCTTCGAATTCTCGTCGCGTGCCTCGTTCCGGCCAGGGCCATGGGGAGGGGGGGGGCAGCTGCAGGGCCTGCGGGGCTATCCGCGTCCTTAAGAGGGGGCAGGCCTCGCCCCACGAGCTCCCCCAGGTGTCTTTGATCCTGTCATCCCAGAATTCAGTACCACCGTGCTGCCACCATGCCGTGTGGATCCTCCGAGGCCTGCCAGGGCTGCTCCTGTGCAACCCCCGCGGCGCAACCGCCCACCGTCAACATCGAGGATTGCCTCAAAGAACTCGAACTGCTCCGCAAGCGCAATTGCGAACTGGAGAAAACGCTGCAGGGCCAGGCTGATCCCATCGTCGTCGCTGCTCCCCCCCGCCCGCTGCGCTCGTCCAAATGGTTCAACTGCCGTGAGGATCCCGGCATGACGGCCATCTACATGGAGCGCTACCTCAACTTCGGCAT